TTTTTTTTTTTTTTTTTTTACAGTTTGGTTGAAGGAACGAATTCACAGCATCAACAAGTCTTGCCAGAGACAGTTCTTCTGAAGACATTCTTGCTTGAAAGTGGAACCACAGTGCTTTTTACCAAACACATAAATATTCTAGCAGATTGGGTCATACTTTCCCATAGAGAATTGAATGGAAAAAATGATGTGAGTGTGAATTTTATACTTTAAAATAATGAAGACTGACACATTTTTTTAAAGTCATCCCTTTGTTCATTCTTTTGTGAGGAATTATATGTAAGTATCACAGCTGCTTGTTATAGCTGCCTTTTGTTGTGAAGCGTGCTGGTTTTTGCTCTACTAAAGGAAATGAATTGATCCATAAGATTCTTACATAGATATATAGAGAAGAAACGAGTCATGAGTAGCTTGTTGGCTACATTCAGATGTTCACATGCCCTTACCAGCAGGTATTACTGTAGTTGTTAGAGACACCAGCTTAACACATTCTCTCAAACAATATGAGCAAAAGAAGTGATTATCTTATTTTACACTGACAGGATTCAGGAAATGTTTGAAAGAGAAACCTAACAAAACTAATACTTTTTTTGTTGTTTGCTATAGGTATGCATTGTTTCACTGTAATAAAATGCCCCGGTTTTCTTCCTAAATCTTTTCGTTTCATTCGGTGTATTTCCTAGGATTTAGCATAAAAATGGAATTGAAGGCAACTTAATTGCTATTCTGTGACCTGCTGGCCAGCAGGACATTGACCTGAAAGATACTAAGTGTCCTCTATACCACCTATTTCTTTTCAGAAGCAAGAAGCCTTGTAAAACATCTTTGACTTCTAGATTCTCACATAAAATAAAACCTAACTGCTGTCTCTGCATTCTCTTTTAAATTATTGTGAGAGCACAGAATAAATAGGTACTCCATTCACTTTTTTCATACAGTAACAGAACAATAGAAAATCAAGTATTTCAGGGAGAAAAAAGCACTTTCAATATAATATCTAGTAGTTATTCATTATGCTATGAAAGCAAAAAGATTAAACATAATGAGAGCTTCACTCATCGTACCTAGCCAGACCTCCTACCTTTTTTGAGGGCTATCAAAGCAAGACATTGTGAAACGGTGCTGCTTTTTATCCTCGGTCAAGATATTTAAAAAATGCCTAAAATTAGGCTTCTATACCCATATTTATATTTAAGCAACCTATCTTTTCAAAGGTAGTGAGCAGCAAGCAGGCTTACATGCAGTTGGTGTCAGTAGCCATTCTGTTTCTTTGGAAAATCACACTGCTTTCATATTTTTCCTGGTGTTGAATCTGCAGTTTAAGTGTAGGGTACCATTTAGTTTTTTCTGCTATGCCTTCCTTTGACAGGTTCCAGCACTGTAAGCCATGCCTGTCTCGTAAACCTTTCTTTGCATTGGCAGAATAATCAGTTTTGTCAGACTGTACTAAATATATGAAAAGGAAGCTAAATCTCCCCACACAATGTAAACCAGAGAGATCTGCCTTTTGTTTAGATTATACTTTTTTTTTATATACACATATATATCAGAATTGTCATTTTAGCACAAATCCTGGATGTCTGTTGCTTTCTCACGTTGATCTTATGCACTGTAGTGTAAACTGTCCTGCAGAGATGAATTCTAGCCTTAAAAAGCAGCTTGTTGCCTTATAATATCTGTAATGTATTACGTTCTTTTCTAACAGCTTTGTTCCTCATATTTATTTATCTGTTGCACTTTCTTTCCCATTGCATTTTTGGAAAAAATGATCTCTAAACCAAAATACCATATTTTTACAATCCAACTCATTAATCCCTTCATTCACTCTCAGTCATGTTACACTAAAACTTGGTATTTTTCTGTATTTTCAGAGACTAATTTTAAAATTCCATTACACAGTTTAAAATGTCATTCAGAAAATCAAAAGAGCGAAACCTCCCTAGCTCTGCAGACAGAAGTGTGTTTTCTCCTTCCTTTTTTTATCATTTCAGAGGTACATAAATAAATACACAGTGTTCCCATGTCATTAGAGGTAGCATACAGGGTGCAAAAATTGTCCTTCCTGTCTTCAGTTTGTGGGGAGTGAGTCATTACTTGGTTTTTGGTTTGTTTTTTTTTAAAGCTGTTTGCTTAAGAGGTAACAAACACCTTGACAAGAAGCATGTAGGGCCATTCAGAAACCTAAATGAAAAGAACAATTTTGGGTATTGTTACTGTCTGCATGTGGTTTGTGACACATTGGGTGTCCATATTTCTCAGTGCACCTAAGTGTTTTAGCTTGTGGGAAGAAACAAACATGCCAGTTGTGCTTTACCAAAGTTCTCTACAGTTCTTCAGCAAAAATATCTACAAGTGGAAACAGAGGAATAATTTTAAATAAATTTGTTCTTTGAGATTATCTAATACTGTATTTACTAACTGTTAAAAATGGGCAGTTATTATTTTTTTTAGCTTTTTAGAATCAGATTCTCTTTGATTCAAAAAGATTGCAACAAGTAAGCGCTGGAGTGCAGGGAAAATATCTGTGTATGTTTCCTCTCTTCTAGTACTGAGTTGTTGTAAAATTATGGTTTTAATTATGTGTGTAAGCATGCCATGTAAAAAGAGCAGTCCAAAAAAAAGAGAAAAACAAAGCATGAAGTTGAGTACATTTGTTTTCTGGATGTATTTTAGAAGTAGAAGAATAAAAATAGTGACAGGAAATTGGATGTCCTCACTGATCACTGGGTTAATCTGTTGGGACAACTTGGTGGAATAATATTGATACACTACTCTTGTAGTTAAAAATGCAGTACCAAAAAACATAAGCAATTTTCTATTATTTACTCTCTTCAAATCAATTTTTAATATAATTCTAAAATAAATTAACATTTATTATTTGTTATATTATTTAAACAGGTTTCATGAGAGAACTTCTGGTCAAAGTTCATTGAATCTAATTTCTTAATTCAGTTTTAGAATTTACCAGGGAATGTGTATGTTGCTTATAATACTTCTAGTTACATTGAACTATTGCATGGTTTTTCACAATGTCACAGATGGTATCAGAAATGCTCTTCATCCCTAAAAATACCGGTGGGGATTTAAAAAAAAACTGTCTTACATAGCCTGACAAAAAGGTGACAAAGGCATTGATTCAGGTTTTTAGTTGCACAGTATGAATTTGTGTGGTGTAGAACCAAATGTCTTTCTGGTCTGTCACTTGCAGTAGCTTTTTTGCAAGTATGTTTTAGGCATTTGCGGAGTACCACATTTACAGCATATGAAGAAAGAACTCTTATTTAGAGTTATAAAATAACTCAGTAATTCAAAGTTTAAAAAGTTAAAATTAATTTTTCTATAAGACCTTTCATGTGTAAAAACACACTGTGAAACTCCTGCCACCACAGCACTGTGTTTGACTTGACAAAGCATTGAATGGAACAGCAATGTAGGAATTGCATTTGCTAAGCTAACAGATACCAGTTGAAGTGATGTGACCTTTGTATGCTAACACAGTCAATAGCTTCTTCCCACTTCTATGCTTTTCTTAGTGACATAGCTTTGATTTTCAACAATAAGAACAAGGAAGCGGATTTTGAAAAGAGGTTTCACTGCATCTTACTTAATTAGCTGTACATGGTGTAGTGGGTTGATCACAGCTGGCAGGTAGTCCCCACCCTGCAGTGGGTTGAGGGAGAGAATCAGAAGGACAGAAATTAAAAAAATTATGACATTATATAAAGACAGTTTAATAAGCAGAACAAATACATACTCACAAGCAACGCAAAATAAGGATTCCATTCAGTGCTTCCCATCAGCAGATGTTCAGTCACTTCCTGGAAAGCAGGGTTTTATAAAACATGGCAGTTACTAGGCAAGGCAAACACCGTGACTTCGATCATCTTCCCCTCCTCCTTTACACTGTTTTTACTGCTGAGCACAATGTTTTGATCATGTTGGGTCATGTGTCTTGGCTGAGGCCACTCCCAGCTTCTTGTAGGGGTGGAGTGGGAAAAAAGAGGTCTTGGCACTGTCATACACAGTAGCAAATTACAAGTTTAATGGAAATGCTTGGGGTTTTCTGCCTTTTTAATACCACATGTGTTTTCATTACTGTGTTTGTATTGTTTTGTGGTTGAATTACTATGTTTTTATTATCATCTGTGTCACAGTCTCTGTTGTTCATTAAGTACGTCTGTTTCATTTACTGATGGTCAAGCTGATTTTGGTACTTTTCAGCTCCTAAGGAATCGTAGCAAATTATTTTAAACCAACTTTGAATGTATTTTGTTCTCAAAGGAGTATCAGACAAAACATTGACTGTGGTGTGTACACAGTATGGTTATTTCTTACCCAAAATTGTCTGGTTTCAAGTACTCATTATCTTTCACAAGATGCCATGTATCAATTGGTGCTCTAGTGTAACAGTAGTAATTCTGTGGTAGACCCCTAGATCAGATGAATTTCATGTGTTCCTACTATGGTGCCTGTGTTCTTCCGAGCTGTGCTGTGCATTCAAAACATCTGGCGGTATATGTGGTAAGAGGAATAACTTACTACAGAGGAATTTTATTAAGTATTTCTACATGGCTCAGAAAGGTATGTAGATAGATGTGACCTTGCACAGAGTAACTCATACGCTAGAAACATGGCTTTACCTCTATTGATTAAGTGCTCACATTGGTGAATAAATGCATTCTTCTATCTCATGGTGGTGTCTGGATAGCATGCTAAATTCCTGTATATTGTCTTGATGCCTCCTGAAGAAAACACACTTCAGCTTTCCTTTTCATGAGATTTCCACAGGATCACTGAAAAAGCTGAGTTAGAAGGGACCCATAAAGTTTTGGTTGGCTTTTTGTCGGTTTGGCTTTTTGTTTGTATGGAGTTTGTTTTTTTGTTTTGATTCTGGGGGGTTTTGTTTTGTTTTGTGTGTGTGTGTGTCTGTGCCTGTTCAAGGTAGAAAATGGTAAGGCTAATATTCAAAAGTAGGGGTTTTTTTCCTAAATTGGCAGCTGCTCATCTCTTTGGAATTTTTGGTAGCTGAAGAAAGTTTCCTTTTCCAAAGTGATTGCTGAAGTTTCTCTGTGCAGGAAACTGCATCCTTTTACATTCTGGCACATACATACTCACAAAAACAGCTTTAATTTCATGATGAAATCTTTAGAAAAGGGGAATGGTAATAGAGCAGGGAGAAAAAGATCCCCGTAATTGTCAAATTAAACACAAGGTTAACTGGAATAAGTGCAGTATTTGCAATCTTATGGTTAAACAAAATCTAATTAAAAAAGAAATCACGTAACAATTGTATTTGTAAGCTTTGATACTGTTTTGCATATAGTTTTAGCTGATGTTTTCATAGAACTTGTTTTTCTCCACTACCAAATCTTGATATGGCATCAGTGATACTAATTTTGTTATCTGGCTGCAACAGTTAGCTTTTGAGCAGAAGAAAGGCCAATGAAGGAGTGAGATGGCAGCAGAGTGGACTTTTATCTAAAGAAGTTCTGGTACATTATCAGTGTGAATTTTTTATATAATACAGATCAATAGATACACTCATTTTTTTTCCATTTAGGCTTTCAGAAATGAAGTTGCTGGTCTACTAAATGCAATTCTTGGAACTGTACTGGACTATTGGATCATATCAGGTTTGCTTATGGACAGAAATGTGTTTCATCAAATACCTGATTTGGCGCATTACCTTGCCATTTCTTGTGATGGTGAGTGTTTTCAAGTCCTCTCAAAAGTCTTCTAATCAGATACACCAAGTCCTAATTAAAATCCTTGGTTTAGTTTCAAGTTGTTTTTTACCCAGTGCAGCTGTACTCTGCATGGTGTGTACATATGCAGGAAACTATTTTGTTTTGTATGTGTCTGTCAGTGTGAAGCAAATATCAAATAGAACAGGTTTTCTTATTAAAATCCCTCTAAATGTCTAAATGTTGATGTGAAAGCAAGACCACACAGTCTGAGACAGAAAAAAAAATAATTTCAGAGCTCTCTTGTCAGCTTAGGAGAACCTTTAAGCGTATCATAATAAGCCTTAAATTCAGACAGGCAGAGACACCTTACTCAACTCGGGCGAATTTAACACTCCAGAAAATCAATAGATTGCTAAAGACACTTCAACCATAAATCTAAAACCTACACTGAACCGTGTGACTCCTACAACTTCAAGTGAAACATTTCAATGTCTCCTCCCAAATCCTAGTACTTAATGGAAGGAATGGGAGAAAATTCCATTGACTCCCATGAATTACTGTAGTTCCCCCTCATTAAATATACTAAGTAAACAGAAACGTCACAATTCAAATAAATAAATAAATGAATAAAATGAAATGTCAGTTGAGGTATCTGTACTTTTAGCAACAAGGAGTCAAGGAGCTTGAAAGACAAACTTACCTCAAGGAAAGTATTGAACTATTTTAATTTAATTTTCAAAATTAATTCCCACCAAAGGTTCCCCTAACTCCTTTTCCAATCATAGTTTTCTCTGGTAACACGTATATGTAAGCTTCATTTGAAGTGTATCTGCCTTCTACTGAGCACTCAAGAAGAACCACCATGAAAAGAAATTAAACTAAATTAAATTAAACTAAAATCTTAAATCTCTGGACAATTTGTTCCATTCCAGTCTTACACAGAGCAAATGATGAGGACTTTTTTAGGCTGACTTAGAAGGCCAAATCAGTTTGAACTTTATGGTGTTTAAATCAATGGAGCTTTTAGTAGGTACCTCTCCACTGGATTTTGTAGATGCCATATAATAGAGACAATCTTGGCTATATATTTCTGTAAGGCTTTCTTACTTTCCTGTATATAAAAACAGAAAACACAAACAGGATTCAGTCTGTATATACAGATTTTTGACCTGTGCCACTTGGTACATCTGCAGCACTTAAAGCAAAATTGTTGCAAGTTTTTCTAAATTCAGTTATACTTACAGTAGCAAACATCTGTATTCTCAAACTTGGGTTTCTTTTTTGATTGAATCTACAGATAGTTAATTTATGAGCACTTCTTAATAGAACAGAAGATTCCCTTAGTACAGTAAAGATTTCCTTCCTCATTGCAGATGTTGCTTTCCAACTATTTTAGTTGTTATTTTGACATCTTAGAATCAAAATACAAATTCTTACCACTGTAAGAAACAAAGCAGTCTTCTTTGCCAGAACAGAGATAGGTCATACATATGCCTGATACGTATTGGTACATGTATGGATATGTACGTTCATCTACCACTTTTGTGGGGTGGTTTTTTTGAACAGTATAAGCTATTTGGTTGTATCTAAATGGGGTTGTGATTTGCTTATGGTGCCTTTTAACACAGAACTTGCAGGTCACCCTGCATTAATTGTAGATTTCTTGTTCACATTTTGTAACTCTTACCTGAATTCGTGTCACTTAGAGATTTAACAGGTGATCGCTTGCAGAATTTCACAAATAAATAATTTAATTCTTAAAAAAAGGTGTAACTTCTATAATACTGTATTAAGAGCATTTTTAAAAGTTTCACAAAAAGTGATGCTTTGTCTTCTAAAATGTGTTTAACATTCTCTCAGTATCTGGTCATCTTACCAGATGATGGTTAAAATCTATTTAAATGAGAAGAATTCTAGTAATTTTAGTAATTCTCATGGAATTACTTCTGTCTTTTGAATCTGCAATAGGAGCAAAAAGCTTGAAAGAGCTATCTTCTAGATAAGTAGGTATGTAGATTTCTGTATTTTCATTTTTAGGCTTACTTTATTTTTTCCAATTGCTTTTATCCAGATTTTTCTGTGTGTCAATTAAAAATGTTTCTTTATGCCATACCATCCGACTGGCTTCAACTGTTCGTTGCAGAAGCAGTTTTCAAACAAATGTGTTTACAGAGGAATATTGCTGTTTCTACAGAACCTCTTTCTCTTCACAAGATAGTAAGTAACTCCTTTCTTATCTTAACTTATCACACTTCAGTATTTTACAAGTAATTTGATTTGTAAAAGTCTTAAAATACGTATTTTCATTGTGATCTAAGGTCATGCTCGTTGCCTGCATTGTCTTTCCAAGTGTTCCACTGCATTTAGATTTCTCTTTGCCTGAGATCTGGGTCCAGAACAATAGTAAGACTTTTCCTGCCAGAGATTCTGTCAGACCTGGTATCTTTTTACATGCAGTTATCATGAAAGTGAAAAAAATGCAACAACAGTGAAAGCTTTTAAAAATAATCCCTGCTGTAATGATTGCAGGATAATAAATGCTATTAAATAATAATAAATTCTCCAATAAAGAATGCCAAATATAGTGTGATTTTTCTTGGCTACCTTTTCCTTCAGGGTTTTTGAAGAGATAGGTCCAGGCATTTGTTACATAGAAGATTTTATGATTTTGAACCAATCATATGGTTCAAAAGTATACTGTATATACTTCTGTGAATTTCTCCTCGTAGAAACGTTCCCCTACTTATCTTTGCCTGCCTTCAAATCACAGTCTGTGATAGCTGGTAAGGAGAAATATGGTAAAAGCTGCAAAAGAAGTTCTCAAAGCCATGACTGCTGGCAGGATGCAGGCAAATCAGGGCTATCACACAGTAATGTCATGCCCTAATTTAGATTCTCATTTCAGTAATCTTAATGACTAAACGGAGTATGGAATCCATAGCTGTATTCTATAGGTAAAATCGCAAAACAACCAAATTTATACCTTTGTATATATTACATTTTCCACACGTAAGTGTTGATAACTTTACAGGAATTTGATGTGGTCATTGTTAATACAGCACATTTAAACAGAGGTTGAACAAAAGACTGTCAGAAGTCTTAACATAAACCAACTGCATAGCTAATATTTGATGTCTATTGCCACATATAGAGCAGAATCGCTACTTCTAGTATGGCCATGACTATTGATCACTCTCTGTAACTACCGATACATTTTTATAGTGCTTGAAACAAGTCTATGTGTTTCGTGTAGTTTTTCTTAGTATGACTGAATCTCCTTTCTCATTCCATACAGTAACAATTAGCTGTTGTCCAGTTTTGCAAGTTCTTCTCATACAGCATCTTATCAGCTAGGCTTTTCTCGGTGTTCAACAACTCCCTGGTGGTAAATGTCCAGGGAAGGTGCAAGGTGTCCCTCACCTCCTGTTTGCAAGATCTACAGTGAACTGCTAAATACTCAAAGCCTTCCTTAATACCTTTCTTCAAATTTAATTGTTGTGTATTTGATGAATCCCCCTCACTGGCCTTTTTTCCTATGCTTTTTCCAAACAGCAGAAACTTTTTAAAATGAGCAGTATAAGTGGGTTTGAAACTCTGTTTTACTGGAAACAAGTCAAGGCTGTCCTCAAGAGAGAGCACTTAAGACATAACTTAAGACATAACGGGCTTACTACCTTGCGATGCTCAAAGATTTAATCCAACCCCTCATCTCAGAAGAGATGAAGGAGTGGAGAGAGTATGCCTTTAACCAAATTGCTCCCTGTTTTGAGAGCAGGAAGTCTGTAAATACTTTGTTTTAATACATGAAAGTCAATTAACTGTACTCAAGTCTAATGTCCAGCTAAAGAGATCCAGATTTTCTCAGCTGCCAGAAACCTGAGAGAATTTCCCATCTTCTGTCTCACACACAAGCCACTCACTGAGGCCAGCATAAAGAGTGAATTACAAAAACATCAAAGAGGAATGCAAAAGACAAATTGAAACAATTTAGATGTACAATCATTCAGGGATCACATTTTAAAAAACTTAGATACAGCAAGCTGTGGGCCATGGATGACTGCTTCGCAGCAAGTGCAACAGAAGAAAATGTCTTCATTTATAAAATGTTACTTTCGCAACAGGTCTGTTCCTATTCACCTGCTTTGCGAGAGATAGGGATGTGTGAGACAAAGATGCACAAAGCAAAGAAAAAGAAAATAGGGCAACAGCCATGCCCTGAGTCTCAAAGGACATTACAGATGCTAAATGGCGATAAGCAGAGCCAAGTCAAAGTGCTGCCTGATCTACCGTAAGTAATACCTATAACATCACCAGTTTTATTCTGCTTTGGGGGACAGCTTCTGACCTGACACATTTCTTGAACTTTATGTGACCTGTTTTGTTGTCTACAAATTACTTCAACTGACAGAAAGCTCCATTGTAAGCCTGTAACACCTCTGGGCTGGGGTTTCCCCTTTTCTCTTTGATCATCAATTTCAGTGTATATGCAAACTGATGGAGTTATATTTGTCAAGTATTAAATTTATTTGGTATATGCAGAAGTTCACTGTTCATAGAATTACCTTTAAAGAAAGTTTTCAAGTGGGCATTCCTATTTGATTTCTGTTTTAAATATAGTTATAATTAAATGGCATCAAAATCATGTAATTAAGACATTTTAGAAATGATGCTGAAATGGATAAATCTAAGTATTCTGTATGTACAGAATTTAAAATCATTAAGTACATATACATTAAATTAAAATATGAAATAGTGATTTTTAAATGTGTCCCCTTTGCTCTCTTTTCAGTGACCTAATTTTTAATAAGCTTAGAGCAAAAACAGAAGTTCAGTCTGCACACACCAAAGACAATTGTATTTTGGCTGAAGAGGTGCATAAGAGAAATATTAAAGGTATTCTATCTAATTTGTTTCAAGAAATTTAAAGTGGCTAGAATTTATAGTTTTGTGTTTAAAAACTTGTCCTGATGAATGCTTGGCTAATATAATGGCTTATGCCAAGAATTATTTTCTTATGGTCCACTTTTCTCTTTTCCAATGTCTACTTAAATGGAGGAATTTGTATATATTGTAAAATAAAGTTGCATTCTTCACTACCCTCCTCCTCCCATACATTAAATAGTGTAGAGTTTGTGTGAGCTCATTCCAGTCTTGCCTGCCTTTGCTGATCCACCTCAACCTGTGCTTGGTAGGATCAACGTCTTCTGATTTGCAAGTATAATTCAGTTTTCATCTCTCTGAGTCCTAGACATTTTGTGAACAAAGACTGAGGAGTATGCTATGTTACATAGCTGTTTTAAGCATATGGACTGTTTTCTTCCAGGCATTCAGCCCAGACTATGAAAGGCACTTGGCTTTTTACTATACTGGAACTCACGTACCTAAGGAATAAAACAGCACTGCAGTAATTCATTCAGTTCCTATTTATTACACAAGTTTAATAAATTGTACTTTGCATGAGGCTTGCTTTACTACAGAATTACTTGCTGGAACTACTTTCTCATCTTCATCATCAGAAATTTACCTGCAACTCTATTAATATGACACCCAGGAGGAGGCTCAGAAAAATCTGGCAAAAGCAAGCTGGAATTGTTCAAATAATTAAAAACAGAATTGTATCACAAACACTGAAGGACAAAAGTAGACCTCATACCCTTTAAAGGTTTAAAATAACTTCAGCAAGAGTCAGACCATATATTTTAAAAATTGTTTCCCTTTGTTTTTATTGCTTTTGCAAGTAAAATTGATGTGAATTATTATGCCCGATTTCTACAAAGAAAAGTGAGCCGAAGGACTGGGGAGGGTGGGCAATCAAACAAACCAATGCTTCTTTTTTTTTCTATTCTCCCCTGCTAAAATTATTAGTGTCTTCTGTTAAAAGAATGGGTACAGAGCTGACAGATTTACATAGTAAGGTATTAATAAAACAAAATGTTCCATGTAAATCTTATTACAAAAGAGATCTAGTCTAAGATATCTTGAATTTCTGAGATGTTTCATCATCTTTCACCTGGTATCCAGATTTTCCTCTGGCTCTTGTTCAAACCTAATCAATTATTGAAAAGAAAACAGCATTTAGAATGTGTCTGAAGTTCTTATTACGCAGAAGCTAGTGGTGTCTTTACATATATGAGCAGCAGCTCTCAGTTGTTTGCTCTTTAATTTTTCGCATTTATTTCAGCTGTACATGGTACTAAGGTTTAGGATTTTTTTTCCCCAGGGACTACTACTGATGTATTGCTATTACTATTGTTACTATTGTTATTATTTTTGTTGTTGTTACTATTATTATTATTATTACTACTACTACTATTATTTCCCTCTTTCTCCCCTCCTTCTCTACAGTAGCCAAGTCAGACAGTCTATTGAGAAACAGCAAACCATCTGCTAACGGATTTGAAGTTTTGATTTATACTTGAGTGTGTAGAGGCACTCGTGCTTAGCCAGAAACATTCATTTGAATTAGGCTATAAACGCTGTGTAAAAAGAACTATACATTTTAATGTAGGTTCATGAATAAATTTAAGGGAGGGCAACTGCACTCTAAAGTTTTATTGCTTCAAAACTCAGTATTTTTTGGTGGTTTGTGATCACTTGGTGCTTTTATAGTGTGATTGAAGCTTTAAACCTTGAACTAGGGGGGAGATAATTCCTGTGTTAAGCCATTTGCGGTACAATTTCATTGCTGGATCTCTGGTGGAACAGAAGCTCCGTGGGGTTTTTTTTCTTAAAAGATATTTAAACAGGATAAAGGAAAATCTTACTCATTATTGAGTTTTCTGGTACATAACCAGGTCTCCTAGTTCCAGGCCCTTTGATTATTTTCTTTAGTTGCTATCTTGCCAAGTCTGGTGTAATCTATTAATTTTTCATGGTAGGAGAGACAGCCCTGCATAAAGCTTGCAGAAATAACAAAGTGGAGAGATTGATTCAGCTTCTTTCTTTGCCGGGAATAGACATTAATGTTAAAGGTAAGTTATCCATTTTCTCTACAGAACTAAGAAATTAGGATGCATAAAGTATGCATAAATCTGCTTGGTAACAAGTTTGTATTTATACAATCTAAAACTCTTTCTTTGTTACATAACAAAACGGGGACTTTACAGCAAACATTAAGATAAGATGAATTTATAACTGAAGTGTATTTTAACATCACATTTTCTACTGATTTTTAAAAATACTAGTTTTATTCCAAATGTTTTTCAATAGAACTTCTTTTTTTCAAATCACAAGTTGCCATTCTAGCTGTAATGAATACTAAAAAAGTAAAGTGTTTTCCTGTCTAATGAATGACATTATTAACATTTCAGTACTACTTCTGCTGTTTTAAAACTTCCCTTGATTTATAATTCAGACTATGCTGGCTGGACGCCTTTGCATGAAGCCTGTAACCATGGTAGCACAGTGTGTGTCCGTGAAATTCTGCAGCGTTGTCCAGAGGTAGACCTGCTCAGTCAAGTGGACGGGGTGACTCCTTTGCATGATGCACTGTCAAATGGACATGTAGAAATTGGCAAGCTGCTACTTCAGCATGGGGGTGAGTGCATTTATGCTAAACTGGTTTAGGGGAATTATCCACTGCTCTGAATCCATATGAAGTTCTCAGTGTTTTTCTTAATAGTTTCCTAAAATACTACATTATTATGAAATATTGTAGAGCATTTTTAAGCCAAGATGGTTTGTTTACAGTAAAAAGAATACTGTTTTCACACTTATCTTGATCAGCTGAACATGAAATTAAACAAGGATTTCCACACGTTTTTCCAATATGGTAATGTTTTTATCCTGCATTTTACACCATATGCATTGCAACTGTATTCTCACTAATGAAAGTAAAGATTACCTATTCACCTATCAAGGCTAAGTATTTTCTACTGTTTTGATCTATTTTTACCACAACACAGAAACAGATCAGTTAAATTTCTATATATTCATGTGTTTCAGCATATATTTTTCAGCATTTGTGAAAATTGATGTGACTCTGAAGTGTGTCTCAGAAGAACACAATTATATTGGTAATTGGTTAAAGAAAGTAATCGATATTGTAGTCACGGTAACTGCTGTTTAGGGATAATAGTGTGAGGGACACCTTAGTTTCTAAAGAAAGTACTTTGCCCGTTAGGCAAGCACACAAAGTTTTAAACAGTACTTTTTGTTCAAAGACAGAGTATTTCTATCTTGATGTATTCAGTGTATTTAATTTAGTGTGTTTAAAAAAACCCTGAAAATATCAACAAAGAATGGTTTTGGATAGCAACTCTTCCTTCTTTCAATTAATTTACTAAAATTAGTATTTTAATATTTAGTGTAAACTGTGCTTTATATGCAGTTTTTTCAGTAAAAATCCAGATTTTTTTTTCAGTAAAAATCATTCTTTGTTTAGTCATGAGGAAGAAGAGTGTCTTTAGACAGCCTATTACTTAAGGGAGAGGAACAAAATTTTGATACATTCTTGGCATATGACCCTCTGTATTTACAGTCTTCTCCTGCCCCCTAAAGGCTGTGGCTGTGTCTGTTGTGCAAGCACCAGATCATAATCAATAAATTCCTTCTGCAGTTCTACCTCTGTTTACAGAGTCTCAGTTCTGTGGCTCCCAGGTGTTTTATATCTCTACTGAACCATGTCACCTTGACATCTAATGTGCCAAGCCAATACCTGGGCTCAGTTCTATCAATTGCAGTGATGCAATAGCCAGTATTATAGTAGGCCCAGCTTCTCAACTGGAAATGGTATTGCACTGACAGATGTGCATTTTTCCTAGGCTGTTGTGAAGAATAGGTAGTGGATGATCTTGTTATCACTGGGGAAGAACTATACTTGCTCTTGCATTCATCAAGGTTTTCTGGGAAGAGTAAGACTGCATGTATCTTTATCTCTGCCTTTGTCACACTCTGAGTTATGGCCTGTCAAGTAACTGACAAGCCCATGGTGGAAAGCATGTTACCTCTTCAGTGTGAATTTACTTAGCTCAACAATTTAGAACACATCTCTCTAAAAACATACCTACTTTCTGTCTCTAAAAGCCTTTAGCTTGCAAAAGTTAATGATACTAAATAATCAGAAATAATAATACAGCCTTAATCAGAGCAAAGTTAAAATATCCTTTATGGATATGTAATGTGGGAATTTACCTTTTGTCAATAAAATCTACTTCGGAAGAAGCATTCATGTTAATATGGCAGCATTACTTTAGCATAGTAATACAAATTTATGTAAGAAGATTCCTGGTGTGCTCATATTTGAAATGCACTTGTAGTATCTTAGGCTGCATCAGTAAGAAAAAATGAAGGCTGTTTTCTTAAGCTTCCCAAGAGATGTGTAAGCTGTTTAAATATTAACAGGTCCCTTGTACTAATAAATAGGAAATACCAAAAGCATTTATTTGTTCAGATTTATTTTATTTGTTCTTCAACTTTATTTATTAGAGTAATTATGCTTTGTGTTTTAGAAGTCTGTTAAGATCAAATTTTGAAACTCAGTTGTTGGGGAAGACTTTGATTCTTACCCCAGTAGTTTACCTTGCTGCACAGCATAAGGCAAAATTGGCCACACCACCCAGAAAAGTAAAATAAAGACCATCATAGTAGCATGTCTTTAATTTCAAGTCAGTGTCAGCAAATAACCTGGTCTACAAGTACTTAACAGAATTTTACAAAAAGTAATAAAATTGCATTTTTGCACACTCTATGCAAGTTAAGACAATATTGTAAAGAAATTGTCACAAAGGATCTCTCTTGCATGTTCTATCTTGTGTTGCAAGTATGTTAGTCATCAAAAAAAAAGAACTTAAGACACCTGGCTTCTGCCAACAAGCAACTCAAAATCTTGTTCAGCTGCCAGTTCATCACAAAATGTTGTTAATAATGTCTGTTGTTAATAATGTTTGTTTTCCCTGAAGGGCCAGTCCTTCTAGAGCAAAGGAACTCCCATGAGAAACTGCCCCTGGATTATGTCGAGTCAGTCACAGTAAAGGAAGAACTTTTCAATCTTGTTTATCCAGGAGAGAGCATTGAAGACTTCTATGAATCCAGAGAACAAGATTTTTGCAATCAGAAGAAAGAACTGTGTTTGATTTCATTTACTAAGATGCTGATGAATTTTTGTTCTGTTTATAATTTGTCTACACCCCTGACTGTTACTCTGAGAGCGCTAGCTTGTTCAGATGTACTTCCAGAAATGGTTTGTGATAGCTTTAAGATGAAAAACGCATTTTCTGGAGATTGGCTGGTGGATACATATTTTAAAGAACTAGAAACTTTTGAAAAACTACCACAATTTCATCAAGAAATATCTGAAAACATGTTATTCTTCCCTAGTGAACAGGCAAAGGCTTTATTAGCAGTTCTGGAAACTATGGTAGAAGCATGTCAGTGCCTAAATCTTTCTAGTGCTTAAATTCCAAATAAGCTACATTGGCTGAATCTTGAGTGTTACTAGCTTCTATTTGCCTGACAGATTGGGATGGGTGTGATTGGAAAGTGCTGTATCATTTACATTCAGTTAAACTTTGTATTTTCTGTCTTGGGAGTATTTTTTTTACATGCCTCATGCCATATTTCTCTTCGGTTCTCTTAGGTAGTGACCTTAAACCTAAATCAAGCAGTTGTTTCATTTCTTGATAACGACTTGTGTCTACGTATTTTGATATCCCTTAATAAAGCAGATGTTGTAAATATAACATGAAATAAAAACACATGGAAAAGTAAATTCCTTCTATTCATTTTCATCTTATTTATCCTTGTCTTATAAAAATTAAATTGTATTATGTAAATTAATTGCAAGTTGCAAAATTCAAAAGAGAAGGCACTATGTATTTACATAATCAATATATAACATTTACCATGTTTTTGTTTGATAGAAGTGGTCACACAAAGACATGTGGAAAATGTTGTTCCTCATCAGCACTATGCTGTTTGTAGTCTTGTTTATTTGTGCAGTGACCAAGTGAAGGAAACTGGCTTGGACACTTGGGTGACCTGCAAAAATACAGTGGGTAGCACTTGCTGCTTCCCAAGTCAATGATGCTTGAGTCAGTTTGGAAAACTGAATTTTCTCAGCAAAACTTAAGGCTGTCCTTGGCTCTGCTCCAACTCATGTTGGCTTGCAGTGATTTGATAAACCCATTACTCTGGCATGTAGTGATGTGCTAACACTCCTGGGACTACCTCAAAGGAAGACGAAGGTGGAAGCAGTGGCACAAATCTAGTTAGGTTGTCAGAGGAATTTACAAAGGATAGGACAGGAGTTTAAGTATATACTGGACATCATATTCTGACACTAAGTATGGATATCCTTAAAACTTATGCCCCACTTAATAAGAAACTTTGGTTCTCTATTTTGTGAGTGCATGCAAAAACTACACATGGTAAATCCTCTGAACTAATGCTTTTAACGATTTAGGATTTTATGCTACACATTCTATCAGACAGACTTTTAAATTAATTAAGAAAAGTAGAAATTCACATGCTGTTCTTTGAAAGGTATTGAAGGCAAGGCAGCTGAATTTCCCAATTGTGCTTATGGATCTGGGGTTGTAGAAGAGTTAAACCACTATAATTCTTTGCCCTGCATCTTTGAAGAGATCTAAATAACTCCACATTAGGATCTGGAGGAGAGACACTCAAACAGAAGTTTATCTCCTTCCTTTCCAAGTGAAGTAAGAGCTGCTTTAAAGGATAGAGGATACCTGATTTTTTTTTCTAATAGATTCAGTAATAAATGACTAAAAAACTTAAGCCTTCAAAAGGTAGGTACGAAAAAGCAACATTCCAAATTCCAGTTCTTCTGTAATAGACATTTATAATATTAAAAAAAAAAAGCAAACCACTGAAATTAAGGGCGTGGAATAAGAGCTGCTTCTATAACTAATCTTGCCTGACTAGAGGGACTAAGTTTTAATTGATGCATCTGGCATGCAGCCCATTAAAATTTCCATTTGGCCTTTCTGCAGCTGAGATATATGATCTTACAGCAAGCCACAGAAGATGCTCAAACCAAGCTGACTTTGGAACCAGAACTTCCTTACAAATGTTCCATGCTTATTAACGACCAATTATTATTGGTATACATCCAGGCAAAACAACCTGCTCTAACAGACTAAAAGGTCAGCGCATATTGGATGTTTCTGTCTGTGCACTTCTTTCTCTAGTAAGAAAGAAACACCAAAAACACTTTTGTTATATATGAAATGGACTAATAAACTTCAGTATTTCCTTTTGTAGGACACAATGAAAGAAATATTAAGTGTGTACTTTCTACAAAGTGCAAAACATGTATTTAAGTTTACAACACTAACATTTGCTTTAGTCAGTAATTTGATGCATAACTATGAATTTTTAATAAGTGGGACTCAGGACTGTCAAAAAATTCTGGGCGGTCTCAAAAAGCAAATCCTTTAGAATATTCGTAATTCTAACATAGTATATCAGTGACTGAATGAAAGCAGGAAAAGCTTTAATTTCATTTATTTTGGCCTGATAGTGATTCTGCTTATTTAGCCAAGATATGCCCGCAATTATTTGTTATTTTTTATATCATTTAGAAAGAACAAAACTGCTCATCAATCATTTAAAAAATCGTACTTCACTATCTAAAGTAATTTCAAGTACCTCCCTCCAAGATAATGTACATAATGTAAGCTAAATGAACATTATTAATATTGGAAAACAAAACAGTCAAGAAGTTAGCAAATATGTGAATTAATCCTCCAGAAGTAGCCCCAGCTGACAACATCGTATGCATACAGCGTCAGTCCTTTTATGATAACATAATTCTATTCTTAAGTTCTCTTAGTTTAAGGATCATAAACTGGAAGTTTTCCTCTTATTTCTCAGTTATTATAGTTCAACTTTATAACTGTTATATACTCAAGTTTGCAAACTTCATACCTTTAAAAGATTTTAAGTACATGTCATATTTAACATAAAATTATATGCTTCATCCAATTTATTGAAGTATCTGGTAAATTCTGATGATTCAGTACAGGAAGATTTTCTTGCTACAGTGAGCTCTATTAATAAGCGGTTGTTTGCTTTTGAAAATCTCTCTTGGTATGTAGGGTATTTTCTCTTCTTAGCTAGAAGAACAAAATCAAGTTTTTCTCTAAATGCCCAAGTTTCACGTGCTGACACACTTCAGAAGCATGAAAGTATATCTTCACCCTTAATCAATCCTATTTTTCCCAGGCCTTTAAGAAGTTCTTAATTATTTTTCACGTTCAGCATACAGTTGGAGAATATATGCGCCAAATGATGAGGCTGCAATGCTGCTTCCCGGTCAGTGAATAACAGAGGTCAGCAAAGTTGACGGCAGTAAAACAAAGGGTAGAGGACACTGGGATACGCAGTCAGGAATTTCTGTGGCACACAAAGATGTTGGTCAAGATTTGAAAGTTGCCAAAAAAAGTTGTGTTAAGCATTCATTTCAGCGTTGTATACTCTGTTCCGTCCTGATAGAAAAGGGGCAGTCGGGGAGGATCCTTTTTGACAGATTTCCTGGACGAGAAGAAAGCGTAAACGCAACAATCTGAGAACCGTTTACTGATAAATAAGGGCAAGTGTTCCTACAAAAGTGGGATAGGAAAAGGACCAGGGAGGGAAAAACAGAGACGGAGAAAGAAAGAGAAGACAGGGACAGCGTTACCACAGGAGCCCGGTGCTCTGTCAGCTCAGCGGGCGGAGGGTGTGCTACGAACCGCGTTGGGTTTGCGTTGCTCCCGCGGCGCTCTGGCCACAGTTTCCAAACAGCAGCAGCCGCGTGTTCCCCCGCCAGCAGGCAGAATGGGCTGTCAAGGCCAGGGCCGCAGTCCCGGAGCGGCTCCGGGCTCCCAGGGTCAGGGTGCTGCGGCTGCGGGCGCGCTTCAGTGCAGGGAGTGGCGGCGGCAGCAGCTGGGCGCAGGTGGTGGCGACAGGCCGGTCGGTTCAGGCTAGTGCCACGGCAGTTTAGCGATACGGCAGGCCAGTGTGGCGGGCAGCGCAGCGACCATGGCCGCTGGGTGCAGGCCGGGGTCGGCTGTGCCCGGGAAACACGACGGGGGTGGCTGCAGCGGAGCACGAGGTTGTCCCGGTGGTGAGCTGGTTGGCGGAAAAGGCGACGCAGGGCAAAGCAGGTACGGGCAGGAAAGCAGGACCACTGGGAGGAAAGGGCAGGAGGCGGGCGAGAAAGGCCGAACTGGCCCTTCGAGTGAGTCCTTCGTCCATCCAAGACACCCAAAGCCAAATGGCTCCCGTTGTGGCGCACTACAATGTGCTACGGCTCCCACAGCCTGACTTGGCGGGCAATTTTGGCGGGCACATGCCCCATTGGCTAGTACGGGGGGTCACTCACTGCCCGATTATGAAGGTCTTCTCTGCTGTCCTTGGCTGCCAGGCAGAGCCTTCCGCGGGACGGGTCTACAATCACATGTGCAGCCCCTATAACATATGTTTGAGGCATAAATAAAAATCAGATTGGTCCTTCTCACTCTGTTATATATTATTTGTTTCACACTAGTGCATAACAAGATAGGAAGCACATTATGTCAAAAGCTGTTTGTAAGAAGTTTTGCAGAGGGTTTCTTGATTTCAAAATGGTCACTCACATTGGCAAATAAATAAGTACTGCCAGAATATCATAGTCTGGCCTCAAAAGTTTTGCTGTTGATTTATTTTTATATGGAAGAAAAGTTTAGCATATGAAATTTGAATATTGCTGCAGCTTCAGTAACCATTTAAAATTTGTTATAACAGAGAAGAGGTTCAGATCTCAGAGTCTGAGCTCCCTTTAAACAATCTAACTAAATAGTCCTGAAGCTCTTCCTGCACCAGCTACAAGTCTGACTGCAGTTAAATCGCTGTACCGCAAAAGGTACCAAACCACGCCTCATCCCCCTCATCAACTTTTGAATACTGTGCTCTGTTTTGGGTCCCTCGTGACAAGAAAGACGTTTAGGTGCTGGAGCATGTCCAGAGAAGAACAATGGGGCTAGGGAAAGATCTAGAGCACAAGTCAAATGAGAAGTGGCTGAGGGAACTGGGGTTGTTTGGCCCGGAGAAAAGGAGGCTCAGGAGTGACCTTATTATTCTCTGCAACTGCCTGAGAGGAGGCTGTAGCCAGGTGGGAGTTGGACTCTTCTCCCAAGTGTTATAAATCCATATTGTGATATTGGCTTCTCGCAAGTATTAAGATGAATGTTATATGATTTTGCTATGTCTTTTTCTCTTGCTAGCAAGTTTTAGGTGTAGGTCAAGAAGAATTTTGAATGTTAGGGCTAGGTCCTGTCTGTACAAAGCAAGATAACCCCCAGTGGACAAGATGATGGGGTCCAGGCTGCTATCAGCACTGACTGCCTGCAGAGGAAGGAACCCCAGCCCAAATAAAAGGGTGATAAGAAGGATCAAGCTTCTACGACGCATGCACTAAAAAGGCGGACCTGGGGAGTGGCTATGCAAACTAGTTCTTGGAAAAGTTTGAATATGCATTAAACTCCTACAGCAAAATGGGATAAAAGGAGTGTTCCAAAGACGCTAGGTGTGCTCTTGGCAGAGAGACAGGCACCCAGCTGTTTTAACCCTTTGCTTTATTATCTTTGTCTTCTAATTGTCTTTTTGTTTATATTAAACCTTTTAAAGTCTGTTAAGCAAGTGAACCTCGTTTTTCACACAAGTAACAAGTTATAGGACAAGATGAAACAGCCTCAAGTTGCACCAGGTTTAGGCTGGATATCACAA